TTAGAGTCAAGAGGGAATTGAACCCTAACTTTATCAAATTTGCAGTCTGACTACAGAACCATTCTGTAAACTTAACTCAGTAGAAAAATTTTGTTTGTTTTCAACTAAGATTTATATCTTATAGACAACTTTTAATTAATGAATCTCTGTAGATAATAGCAGCTTCCAGTGCTTTACTTTCTCCCCTATAGGAAAATAAACTGTTTAGTAGGTATTCGAAGACATCTAGGGAAATTTGCCTTCGAAAAAAATCGAAATCTTAAGGGTTGCCTACAACCCAGTAAATTCGGATGAATTTATTTTTCAAAAGGGTCGAAGTTTGATCCCTCTTATTCTGATTCTAAAACCACCGAAGGGATACCATTATTTTTATTAATGGTACATTTTAGCCCGAATTTTTGAATTAAAACACAGACTAAAAGATTAATCTCTGCCAAAGTAAAACACTCTGTAGAAAGATAAACTACTCGATTTGTTTTGCAAAAACAACCGTCGTCACAGATCCAGTAGGCTAAAGACAAAGGTGTAAATAGTTCCTCTATGTTAAGTGGAATGAATTTTTTACCATCACTATGAAAAAGATTATGAAATTGTGTAAAGCAGGGTAATGAACGAGTTACAAATCTTATAGAAGGATATACTACTCCTGTTTTTTTATGTGCCTTTGGGGTAATTATTTTTGGAGCTGACGAGCAATAAGATTGAAATAAATCGTAAAGATGATGAAGGTAATCCTTATGTGAAAAGCTTTGCCAAAAGTAAACAAAAGTAACCAAAAGTAACCAAAAGTAACCAAAAGTAAACAAAAGTAAAAACATGCATTTATGCTGGCTTTTTTTTTTGTTAATATGAAGGTCTCCCAGTATAAGACCTACTAAGATTTCTTTTAAATTGTCAGGAAGAACTAATTCTTCTCTCTCTTTTTTGGTTAACCGTTTTGGTTTAACAGGTGGTAAAGAAGAAAGTAAAAGCAGACTTGAAAAAATTTCCTCTACTGCACAGTAATGTACTGAGAGGATATTGTTGAATAGCTCACTAAAGATTCCCATTCCAGATCCAATTGACTGAATATTAACAACACTTAAGAACAGTGCTGCGGTATAAAGTAGTACGATAGTTATTATTCGTTATAATAATAGAGGAGATATTCGAAGAGGAGATATTCGAAGAGAAGGTAGCACAATGGCTAATTTATTAAACACAAAAAATGATGCTTGCATTTCTCTTTTATAGATTTTTCTCCACATTCATTTTCCTGGTACTCAGCCGAATTGTGCTTACTCAAGCCGCCATCATCTGCAATCTGTAAACTTAACTAGTCCGCGCCCTTTCAATAGGTGCGCGGTTAATACCGCAGTCGATTTTTTGTCGACCCTGGGCACTTCCCCTAGTTCCGACACAGGCGTCAATTGACGCCATAGTGTGAGTTAATACCTCGTTTTTGTTCCTGGCGGGGGAAAATTGGTTTCCCAGGTCTTCTGGAGTGGAGGTTATACCTCCACTTTGGAAGACGTACAAAAGGGTCATCACTCATTTTTAGGGTCACTAAATAAGCCACATCAAAAATGAGGCTATTTGTTTATGAATATTTGATATGAGTAATCAGACTCGAACTGATGATATCTACGTTTTACGCAGTCGCAGACTGCTAGGTTCCGCGATCTTCGATCGCTAACAGACTCAAAGATTGCAACAAACTAGCATCATCTACTCCCCTCGAGAGGAAAATTTAGGGTTCTACCGTTAATTGCCCAAAGTCAGTATTGTGAGCGCAGGGTAAGGGGATTGAAGTGTTAATAAAGTAACAGGGTAGCCTGTAAATCCTCTAATAGCTTTCAGGTAATAAGAATTAAAGGCCTATTTTATACATCATCATTATTGGCATGTGAGGTTTACAGAGATTTTGCATTATAGGCACTGATTTTCGAGGAACTGCTATTCTGTAGGATGCTCCCCTTTTACTTTTATAGCAATTTAAATCCTACTTAGAGTTTAAAACTTGGATTAAATTTTCTACTTCATCAATTGCAAATGATTCTGTACAAAGAATAACCCTTTGACTTGATTTTTCAAAAGTTCCGTCCTCACAGATCCAGTATGCTAATCCCAGGGGAGTTAAAAGATCCCCAATGTTTAAAGGAACTATTTTTTTCCCCTCGGGATAGAATAATTCAAAGAATTCATTGCAGCAAGGTAATGCATGAGTTTGAAATCTTATAGTAGGATAAATTTTACCCGTTCTTTTATCTGGCCGGGGTGTAATAATTTTAGGAGTTACAAAACAATAATCTTGGAATTTGGTATAAAGGTGCTCTAAATAATCAGTATGAATAATACTTTGGAGGAATCTCAAACAAGCATTACCATTAATAGCTCGTTTATCTTTCTGGACATTAAGATCTCCTAAAATAAGACCAATGGTTATTTCTTTTAATTCTTTAGAAAAAGTAAATTGAAATTTTTGTTCATTGCTTAGTCGTGAGGGTTTAATGGGCGCTATCGAATTGAAGCAAAATACTAGGCCATTATAAAAGTGTAATTCGCTAACAATTGACTGAGTATAAACAACATAAATTAATAGAGCAAAAGTTGTTACTTTAATAATAAAATAACTTTGTTTTAAGTTTAACATGGTTTGGGTTTTATTTATCGATCTTATGACTTCATGTTTTGTGTATTTATTTTATCTCAATAAATACGATAGAATGACTAAGCCTTAGTTATTATATCCAAGCTCAGTCAATCTAGATTCTCTAATGACTTACCCTCAGAAGGAGCCGGGTGAGTATAATCAGCCTAACCCAAGTCAAAGAGAACCAGGGCCCTGGCAATCTAGCTGCGCTGCTGCAGTAATTGAAATTTTAAGTGCACCAAGTCAAGTCTTTCTTGCCTTTTATGAAACTGACACGTTAAGTGTGTTAAGGCAAAGAGCATCATGTTATAATATGACAGCTCAATAGAACATTGTATTGTAAAAAAGTAGGCCTTGTTTTAATTAAAGCCCGCTCTGTTTTCCTAATCTGTGTTTGGGCATAGCCCGTGCAAAGACTCCCTGAAGTCGCACACAGAGGAGGGAATTTTAATATCCCATTGTAACAGGTTCAACTTGGAAATTATAATCCTCCGCGGTTAAGCCTTTCTTATTAAGAATAAAACGACCTATGGTACGAAGGAACTATGAGTAATCAGACTCGAACTGATGATATCTAGGTGGAAGCTAAAAGTTATACCAACTTAACTATACTCATGTTAATTTATTCTTGATCCCATACCGAAGGAAGAAGTTATACCAACTTAACTATACTCATGAAAATTCATGCACCAAAATTTGTCAGGTCTTCTAGTCAATCCTAAGATTGACTGGAAGACGTCCCCCGTAGCTCTTCCCAATAAGGAAGAGGGATTCTATCGAATCCAGGAGTAAGGACTTACACTGTCGTAGCAAGCCACGACAAGGGCATCCCATTAAATTTAAGGGGAAGTATCTTCTTTTATTAATTTATTTTTAGTATTTTTAGAACATACTTTATTTTGGAGCGCATAGCCTCACGTCTGGGATTTTGGGGTCCCTGTGATTTATAGTTCTTATAAATTAGGCATCCTGTTTCGTAGATGCCAGAATTTGAATTTTAAGACCTTAAAAATAAATTTCTGGGGTAAATTGAACCCAACATTTCCTAAGTCTTCTAGGAAAGTTAGGTTGATCTGGATGAGGGTTTGATTTACCTAACAGATGTTATAAAGCCGAAAAACATCTTATTGGATTTGAACCAATACCAGACTGCTTCGAAGGCAGTTGCTATACCAATTAAGCTAAAGATGCCATATCTAAGTAAATTACTCTAAGGCTTAACTTAACCTTCGTCTAGATCTCTCTTTGAGAGAAGGTTAATTAGGGCCTTAAACAAAAAACGAGGTAATGTCGACACGCCGCCCGCGGCGGAATACTAGTGGGACACCATAACTTAGTGATGACACAGCAGGGAAGACCTGGTGTTAGAGGGTTTTATAACGTGCATGAATTTTAGGTCCTTCCAAAATACGAGTAAAGAGATTTGAACTCTTACAATCAAATGATCATGAATTCCTAAGATTCACCTGGCTACCAGTTTCAGCATACTCGTTTGATTTTTGGGGATCCCCCAAAAAAATTTTGTACCGTCGCCTACCGGCGGTCCTACGCTGTTACAAGATTCACGTTTTTCAAACGTAAATCTGTTAACAGCATATACACTTTTAAATTATAAACTGTGCCCCGGACATAAACCTTTCTTTAGTAAAGGTATACTGAAAAAGTTTACTACAACGGGATTATCTATGACAATCTTAATGTACTAATTTCCCTTTTTAACATATCCGCAGGAGACAACAATCATAGCAAGATACAGGTTATTATATTCTTTTTTTTTTTTAGGAGCCCCTGCGAGCCCCCGGCCCGCTCCTTCTGAGCGGATCTAGGGCCGCAGGGGAAGTCAACCTATCTCTAATTTAATAAATTAGGAATAAAGTTTTAATCGTCTTTACTTCCTTGCTGCGCCGAACTTAGGTAATTAATTTATCTCGAAATTTATTTAACTTAAGGTAACGTACTCTCATACTTGCTTTTTGTCATCTTTAAAGTCTCACAACTTTACTATATAAATTTTCAAAAGATTTTACAATAGTCTCTTTTATCCCGAACCCTCATTATTTTGTTCTCCAGTCCAGGCGGCCTTAAGGATGACCGTCCATAACAATGGATGGTCATCCTAGAACTTGAATCTCAAAGATGCTGAAAGTAATGGATGTTTATTCCTATCCAAAGGAACAGCTACGAAGTAGTATCTGTCGGACCTCATACGAAGTACCGGAGGATTTTAACTACCGAAACTGGGCTTACTCGCTTTTTGATTTTTTTCATACTTGATTCTTTTCTTTTATGAAAAACATTATGTGCGGGTCTAGTCTAGCCAAAGGTCATTCTCTTTTTAGAAAGTCTACACAAAGGATTGTGTTTTATAAATTATAATTCGGAGTCGAACCAAAACTTCTAGATCCGTGGTTATAGCGTTCTACCAACTAAACTATCAGAATTACGGCGGAGGACTGACTGGCGCCATATTCTCGGTATCCTATACGCGAGAATAGCGCTTCACTCAGGATGGTACATGATGGATCTTAAGATCCGATAGCACGCGACCAGCGCCTCTGCTTTTTAATTCTAATCCGGACTTCCATCATTCTTTCCTTTTAAATTCAGAATGATGGATTCGGAATTCCATCATTCTTTCCTTTTAAATCAAGAGAATAAACATACAGGGAGGGGATTTTGATTAATTAATTTTCAATGGTTATGATTCATTAATAATATTATGCTTTGATTACCGGAGGAATATCATCAATCATTAAAATGGGAGCCGGTTCAGGAAGTTGTATAAACTTAGATTAATAATTATTTTAAAATAGCTTTTTGTTTACCTAAAAAGTTAATTGAAAATGGTATAGCTTTTATTACCCAAAGCTATTAGAAAAGGCATAGATGAAATCCTCTGAAAATAGGGGGAATTTAAAAACACTTACCAGGAAGGGGTTTTTAAATTTAATGGGTTATATATTTTCATATTGAGCCAAAGGTCATTTTTACTCAGGCCTAGGAAAAAGCGTCAATTTTGGGATTCCTTAACACTCCGATAGGGTTGAACCAGCACTCCGAAAGCGTAGATTCCGAGTGCTCCACTAGCAGCATGTATTTATAATTACATGGCACGTATTAGGGCATCCAATCCCAAGCTATAAGCAGTCCCGGCACTAAAGCTGTTAACCCTATAGCAATAGGCAGTAAACCTGTCCAACAGAATAACATTAACTGATCATATCTTAATCGAGGTAATGTTGCTCTGAACCATACAAACAACCCTGTAGCAAAACATGTTTTTAAACCTAGTATGATAGATTGAAGATTTATAAATGTTTCGTTAACAACAATTTCTGGTAATAAATATCCACCAAAGAACAATATCATTGTTAAAGTTGACATCAATACAATAGAGCAATACTCTCCAAGGAAGAAGAAAACGAATATAATTGAAGAGTGCTCAGTGAAGAAACCGGCTACTAATTCTGATTCCGTAGGGATAAGTCTTGGAGGGAGAAGAATACAGGGCTAATTGACAGGGCCCAGGGGAACTTTTCCCGAATAAATTAAAATTAGTAGTTAACTAAAAACGAACTAATTATCTAACTTTCGAACATAATATTTACCGTTAAAAATTTTTCCTGATCTAACTTTCCGAGAAACTGTGGTCTTATTAACACCAAATTCAGCTGCTATCTCTATTTGGTTTTTAAACGTTTTAATCAAATTATTATCTAGGTCATATAACCCTAAAGGATTTTTGCTCATTACTTCAGAAATTTTTATTCTAGTTTCAACAGAATGAGTCTTTCCAAACATAGGGTTTAACTCACCAGGTTTACTGATTAACCTCAGTGTTTCAAGAGTATGGTTTTTTCCATACATCGAATGATTAGTTTTATCAAGGATCCTAGATTTAATTTTGGCTATCGCTTCAGCCGTGTGTTTGTAGCCCAGCATAGATTTAGCTTCCTGTTTGAAATTAAATAGTTCTTCAAAAGGAAAGCTTTTAATAACCTCTGTTTCAATATCGGTTAGTATTACAGCGGGATCTTCGTGATAATAATAAACTACAAAACTAAAATTAGTTATACCATGTTTTTTGATGCTTCGCTGTAATCTGGCATTTGAACTAATTCCCTTGATATGATCTTTGAATCTTTCATGCATATCTTTGCTGGATCCTATATACTGTTTCCCATCCTTATTATTGACAAAACCATATACACCACCAACATTTTTAAGATCTGCACGGATATCTTTGGGGTCATTTAAATCAGGGTATACTTTTAACGGTATTAATCCAGAAATAAAACAAGATACCATATAATCTGGAGAGATAAAGTTCAATATCTCTTCAAATTCAATTAACATAGTTAAAATAACACTTAGTATAATTATAAATCCAAAAAAGAAAACTGAAAAAATGTATCCTCTAAGAGGAAATAAAAAATTAATATAATTTGAAAACATTTGAATAATAGATAGTAATAACCTCTAAAAATAACTTTTTTTGTTGCAACCTTCTCTTACTAATTCAAACCGTAGTAATTTTAAAGGTTCAACTCGGAAAAGGTTGTGCAACTAATAAGATTAAATTGTCAAAAGGTTCGGCTTATTTAATTCTTCATAGTTAATAGTATAAAAAATATGTAACTAGAATCTTTTATATTAAATTTTTCAACTAGTTGACATTCTTTTCAGTCATGTACTTATTTAGGGATTTACCCTGTGCAAACAGGCCAGTTGATTAAATTTGGCAAGTTGCGGCTGGTTTATAGATTTGTTAGTTAGACTTTTTTTTTTAAAAAAACAAATTTAATTTATATATTCGCCAAGACTTAAAAAGGAATATATCTTAATGAAATTCTTTTATTTCTCATAGAAATTTGCCTAACGGTTAATTTTTTTTGGGGAAAATTTAATTAATAGGCTAGAGTATAACTTCAGAATGTCATTGACCGCGTTTATTCTCTGAGGACACTAATGAATTTAGTATTTCCTGCTGGTTGCTCATTGTAATCCATAGGGTTAATATCCCTAAATATAATTAAAGCAATAGAGTTTTCCAGCATATGGCGGTCTTTAAAGAGGCCGAATCATAGAGCTCTTATAGCAAATAATGTGCTTATACTCTTTTCTGTACAGCCTCTTGTAGATCAAATGGTGTTCTTGATGTTTCAGCTAATATTGATATAAAGAAGAAAAAAAATACTGGCAATAATGGAACTATGTGCCATACTGATTGTTGGCATTCTATTATTTTAGTTATATTAAATGAACCTGTAAGAAGTATTATAATTATTACGGCAGTACTTAAAATTAATTCATAACTAATCATGGCTGCTGTACTTCTTAAAGAACCTAAAAAGGCGTATTTAGAGTTAGCGGACCATCCCGCAAATAACACTCCATAGATTCCTAAAGAGGATAGAGCTAATGTATACAAGATTCCTAAAGAGAAGTCGAAGAGTACTAAGCCATCTCCGAAAGGAATTACCGCCCACCCTAATAGACTAAAGATTAAAGTAGCAACAGGTGCTAAATAAAACAGAATTTTATTTGCTTGTGCTGGTATAATTGTTTCTTTAAGCACTAATTTAGCCGCATCTGCAAATGGTTGAGCTATACCATAGATACCAACTGTATCTGGACCTACTCTTCTTTGCATGGCCGCTAATACTTTTCTTTCTATTATGGTCATGAAAGCAACACCTAATAACATAGGCACAAGAACAATAAGGACGTTTAAAAAATTAAATCCTGTGGATGACATTGATTTGTAAAATTGTAAATATTTATAAGACTTACATTTTAAAGGTATATCATATTACAGAATCATGCTATATTTTAGAGTGTACGCCGGAGAAAGTTCTCAAGAACTTTATATGGCAGTTCACTCTTAGTGTTAGGGGACTCCTAAAATAGACTATTTTAGGAGCCCCAAACAAAATTAAGGCATCTACGATGCTGAAGTTAGGCCCCCGTGGAGCGCCACAAATAAATGATAGAATGACCTGATAATATAATCACATCCTCTATGAATATTAAACTTATGTAGTTATTCTATTTTCTTATTTCTTAGGGGAATCCCCCGCGCCGGGAATATAATCCTGGCGCGGTTATGCCAACACGACGGCGGCTCTCAAGCCGCCCGTGGCGGTTATATTAGAGGGATACCTAAGCTTATGGCTCCTAAAATTACTTGAGTTTTAGGGGCAAATTCTCTCACCAAAATTTGTGAGGTCTTCTAATCAATCCTAGGATTGACTGGAAGACGTCCCCCGTAGCTCTTCCCAATAGGGAAGATCTCTTACACTGTCGTGGCATGTGTTAATACAAGCCACGACAGTGGGCAGCCCAGTATATTTGGGGAGTACTGCAGCGTATTTTAGCTATTGAACAATGAAATCGCTCGATAGATACAAATGCTGCAGTATCTTTGTTTCACTAAATTTCCCTTAGGACTGGCGATTGGATTTCCGAGGAAATAATTCGTCAGCCCATAGGAAAATAGGACGACAGCTTTTTAAACACGTCCAAAAAGGTTTAGATAGATTTTTTATACATAGCCTAATAACATAAGACGAAACCTAGGGCCTTTTCATCACTTATGATAATTAGGGGAACCCTTCTAATATATTGTTATACAAATAACAATATTAGTGGGACCCCATAATTAGAAATTTACTTATTTTGTGTACTATCGAAATCAAATGAACTAAACCCGACACATGTCGGAGTATACCCAGGGCATGTCATCCATATGGAGACTAGTAGAAAGCCCATGGGTAATTAGGCGTTCTACATCCCACCCAACAGAGCGGATGGCAGAATTCGATTCCTCAAGTAGTAATATGATAAGAAAAGGGTAAGTAAGTGGAGTATGGTTGAAATGTTTAAACTTATCCTGGAACTCTTAAGGACCAAGAGAAGTTGGAAACATACGAAGTATAAGTTAATAATATAATCACATCCTCTATGAGTGTACAATAGTGCTTTTTTAAAACACTGCCGCACATCATAAGACGAAACCAAGGGGTATTTTCTTTAGAAAATACGTTACCAGAGGAGTACGGCGCATTGCTAAGAAGTTTGGAAAGTCAAGTGTGAAATTTGGGTGAACCCTCGCCAGTGAAACTGGCGGGGAAACCTTTACTACATTTCTGAGTTTCAGTAAAGTTCGTAAACCGTACTGATTACACGATTTAAATAAAATAATTTCAAATTGACGCTGGTGACAAAAAAAAGATTGTTGTTCTCTTTTATTAATTGAAGTTAGAATTAAATTAATTACCCCCCAGTTGCTTAGCTCTCAGGAAAGACCCTCTTTTAGAATGAAAAAGGATTTGACTTTACCCACCCGGAATATTTAAAATTTTTCGCAGGTCGGCGCATTTACATAGAAGGGGAGTGATGATTCATTATACAATATTTAATACTAATGGATTAGTATTGG